GTAGGTTTTATCAATGCATTAGACAGCTAGTATTTCCGTTGTAATTTATGTGTTTTCTTAAACGAGCTGCATCTGTAGGAGTGTCTCTCCAAGCTATTCCTACGTCTCTCATTACAATGCCGTAAATCTGAAATTTCATATCGATTGCAACAGTTTAACGAAAGTTAAACTGACATCTTCGGGTAAATTTATCAATCCCTTTCTATATCGTATAACCACAAAAAATTTGAGAGATTAATTACTATAATTATAAAAAATCATTTTATCTTCTTGAATTTATGTAATTATTGTAATTTATATACTAGGGCTCAAGCTAATCGTACGTCTAGTGACAAAATTTTAGTGCTTTCAGTTTTTGCTTATTAGACGGTAGCCTTCGACGTGTTTTTAGTATGATGATGAGTAGAACTTTTTACACATAAAACGCATGTTTTAACAATTCTAATTTTCATTATCCGGCTCGAAGGACCAAATTTTTACGCTTCAAATTACATACCGAATAAAAGTTTTTTTTGCGCAGTTTTACACAAATTCAGACACAAATATACTCTTCTATTGATTACAAAACACACCATTAAACTGTAACAATTTAAGTTTCCCATTTAACAGAACAAATTGATGTCAGCAATTGGTAGTTGTATAAATTTCATCGATCGTTTTCAATCTCCCTTCGTAGGCCTCGACACCAAAAGCTTAAACAACCTGAGTCCTTTTACCTGCTCCCTATAATAGAACACAAAATACGGTACAGCGTTCGTGAGCAAGGCGGTAGACATTGGGGTGGCAGATATTGTAATAAAATATACATAGACCCGCGGTATATCACATACAAACGTGTAACATACACACATACACGCGAGTGTGTCTGTTATGCATACATTGACAACAGGTCAGACCAACGGGCCTCACGATATTGATCAGAAAGGGTGAATCACGTAATAAGAATCAAAAGAAGTTACTGAAAGAATTTGTAACTCAAATTACAAAAGTCGAGCTATGCTATTCAACAACAAGACAGTCCATTTTTGAATTAATAACGATTTTATACAACAACATGTTTTAACCGCTCAAAACGGCTTTTCTACTTATATTTATGCCTTGCATTTTCTCTTCATTCACTAAAGAAACAACGTCTATATTTTGATGCTTGTACATAAGTACATAAGTCATTTTCTACGTGTTGCAACCCCCGACTCGAGGGAAGGGTTTTAAATTCTCATAAACCTGACAGAAACCGCAACGTAGAAGATTGAATGGCTTCGCGAACCTGGAGGGGCGCCTTCAAATTTTCATATTCCGTCTGTTTGCGTCCAACACCCTTATTCGCTCTCATCCATCACAGTCACGCCGCCCTAGTCGTGCCGGCAATAGGCTAAAGCGCCCCACAGGAGCGGGCAAACATTTATAAAAACGCTTTCACTTGTTACATTCTCCATGAGTTACAACATACCAACTTTCAGCTTCAATTCAAAATCACTAAAAGACAATTAAATACAACAAATAGTAGAAGAATGAGATAGATGGAGTGCTGTCATCTTTTATAGGATGATTTAATACTGAAATGTAGTTTATAATTCTTCTTATTAATTACATTCGTAATTATACCTAAGTGTCTACTGAGTGAGTCTCAAATGTTTATTCATCCAGGAAGTTCTTTGTTCATAAATTTTATGTATATATTGTAAGTCGTTCTTCTTGCGTTTGTCGGTCGACCAATTCAGCAAATTATTGCTCCTCATTTGGGCCAAATTGTTTCAAACTGCCACAGTAAGCCAACACCAATTCAGACCCCGGCCAGAGCCGCAGAACTAAAACGACCGACTGCCTAATAAGAACTTGTTTCAGTTTCTACTCAACTTCCTTCCATTCAAATGAAATTGTCTTGTCTCAAAAACGAGTTCATTACTTAATACAATAATTTACTGTTGTTAGTTGACTGGTCAAAAGTATTGACAGAAAAGAATATGAAAATGGCAATAAATAATAATCTTAATTGATCCAATCAGACAGCCACATATTAAATTATTTTCTGGTGGTATTTTGGTGGATATCTGTTTGTGTTATATGCCACAAAAAACATTTAAAGGTAGAAAAGAAATGTTTAAGAATATAAGTAGGTAGAAATAAAAATTATCCTTAAAATCTAAAGCTGCTTGAGTACCTACTCGTCTTCCCGTTTCGTTTCCAAAGCCTGCTATTTTTAGGATGTCTCTTTTAAATGTTCGCCACGTGGCATTTTTCTTTTGTTGGAATGCCCGTTTCGGTAGGAATTTTTTTATATGAATTTCACGTGTTCTATCCACTCCCTTTGATGTTTATTAATTTCGCATTTTTCCTTTGTGCAATCCACAGTGGCATGTTTCATTTTGAACTTCATTTTTGAATACGAGTGACGTTCACATTGTTGTTGTCTTTTTAACAAAAAGGAGCTACAGAAATCACCGTTAATTGGATAAGATCTTTGTTCGAGTATAAAAAGTTCTGAAATCTGCATTAGTATGACGTTTTTAAATACCTAATACCTGAGTAGCACTGCCTCTACTAGCCCGTATGTAGCCCCAATCAGCTAACTTCACAGTGTCGAATTTTCGTTAGCGGCATCGAGCTTTCCCTATGTGCTGCGCACGCAACTTCCGTTGCAGACAGCGCACCCATATTCAGTTAAATGTTAAAATAAAGACAACTTGTTGTTACAAAAATACTTTGAAATTAAACCACTTTGTAATTGAACTGCTAGATACTTTTAAAATAGAAACTAAAACGTGTTAATGTAAATACATGAAGGATAATGAGTGTTTGAAAGTTAAAATCTTATTTCGTGTCGTCCCACCGATTTGTATTAGGGGCGAGCACGGAACGTAGTAGTTATTGAAGTGTTCTTAGTAATAAACAAATTTCGAAGTGTTTTCCATTACTCTCTTGTAATTACTACTTACGCGCTTGCTAACATAGAAAGGGCCCCAAAGTAATTCCTTTTCATATTCGATGTTGCTTAACGAGAAAACTTTTCTCCAATACATCCTCGATACGGCGGGGATTCCCCGGCATCCTTTCACCTCTTCGATCGCTTTGAAGCTTCTTCGTTTTACATTTTGAATAAAATACGCACCTTCATCTACATAAGAGTTTGTATTCGAACACAAAAAACAGTTTGACTTGAAGCAGTTTCCTTTAGAATTTTAAAAGCGAAACAGTTTTTGGTACATCTCTAACCGTCGAATACTTTTAAAAATATTTTTTAAAGTATAAAGATTAGGCATCCTTAATAAACAATTAACTATTGTTTTCTTAATTAATTTTCAAAAACTTCAAGCAATTGTAACCCTTTGCCTTTAGATACGAAATGTTAACAATTTTATGCTGTTAAATTTCTAAAATTTCACTGTTGCAGCAAGCGGATAGTAATTTTGTTTTCCTTTGTATAATGTATTGGTGTTCATACAGCCTATTTTTTATTGTACGTCTTGTCTGACCAATGTAAATGGCTTCAGAATCATTGCGACTGCGTAAATTCCACTTATTGTTGGTAATAACGATGTTATGTTGTGTTTCTTGTCTTCATTTGCTCTGATATAGGGTTTATATTACCCTTAATATCACATAACGCACTCTTTCTTTAGTTTAATTGAAGAAATGACAAAGAATTTTTCGAACTGGGCTCTATTTTTTCTTCTTTAACAAATCGTCTACAGTTATTATTATTAAATGCACTATAGAAAAATTGGTACTCGTTAACATTGCCAATTTACAGTGGTGTTTACTTTTTCCAGTTAATTCCCAACTAATCCACGAATACCTAAACAAAGCGAATGCCATGTAATGTTTACAATTAATTTTACGATAGCGTTTTGTATTCAAACAAATTATTTTCGGGTAGTAGGTACATCTGTTTATGCATAAACAAAATACGTTTCGGGATGAACAAAATGATAAACCTACGTTACGTAAAATCAATAATCAAACAAGGCACAGCATTATTTAACTATTAAACAAGGTAATTAAAACATAAATATGCATAATTGTTAACGAGTACATTAAAAATGTTATTCAACTATTAACTGTATTTATTAAATTACGTTCTGTATGAGAAATATACGTTTTTCGATGTATAATAAGGGACAGAAGCGTCCTTTATTATACTTTCTTCTTCCAGTTCTGCTAAAAATGAATTAAGTATGTTTACCGTCTACTTAATTCTCCAAACACTTGAAACAAAACAATATCACAACACATTTTACCAGCTGCAAGACTTGACTGTCTCCGCACCCTTAGAAAAAATATTTACTTTTTCTTCTGTAACATTAAGTTATAAGCCTAACCAGAAAGCGTAAAAGCCAATTTATCTACAACGCGACCCGCATCCTACTCCAATTATATCTTTTTCGCCGTCTTCCCTTGCACCATGTTTATTTTTGTAATGCAAGAACGAAAAGCACTCATATACGATCCCTACTTAAGTGAATAAATGAATACAGTAGCAATCATATAACAGAAATAAAAAATACATATGTTATCAAAAAACAATTTCTCAGATATGAAGGGCTATTTAGAGACATGCATATTAGAAGCAGAAACAGGAGTGAAGAGGGGTAGAGATTAGATAACCATTCACAAATAGTAAGGATGCAGGATGTTCCAGTTTTAGGAAAATGCGAACAAAACAAAAATAACCTGTAAATTAGCATAGTATATTGAAATTTCAAAATTAAACAATGTAGTTTAGGATCTTTTGGGCCTTAAGGCTAAATTTTGAGATATGAATGTGCTGGGCAGCCCTAAGGCTCGATTCTAATTCGACGACAAAAGATTATCCTGAAATTACTACCCTCTAATTGGTTGTATTCCCAAAAAAAAACAAAGATCACATTTTTTAATTTCGACTTTTTTAATTTTTTTTTTGTTGTTCAACCCTTAGTTCCTAGACACTCATGTTATGTTTTGCATTATGGACAATATGGGCTGTACTATTTTTATATGTATATCTATTTCATTGGTTGCAGAGTTCGCACAGAGAGACATGGTGGTGCTTGGTGTCCTTTGAAGCAGGCCACAACTGAACCAGAAGAATGGCTGCAAGTAGATCTAAAGAGCGTTCATATGATAGTTGCCACAGGAACTCAAGGGCGGTTTGGTAACGGTCAGGGGGTGGAATTTGCAGAGGCCTACTTGATAGAATACTGGAGACCTAAGTTAGCGAAATGGATTCGATATAGAACTGTTAAAGGCGAAGAGGTAAGTGAAAAAGTTCATGATTACTTCTTGCGTGGATTTCACCCAAAGATTTTACCTTGCACTGTTAACCATGTGGACAGTGCCACAAGGAACTTCTTCGATTCTTTTGAATTTTCTGCACATGTTGTGAACATTAAGGTTTGATCTTTTAGCACAATAATTTCTCAACAAATCATACGTACATATATTCATTCGACATACACTTTGAGGATGTTTGGGAGGCATGTCAAAATGCTACGAAACAAATAAAAATTTGGAAGAACGTTCCTCATTCAATTCTAAAACTCCTGTAAAAATTACAAATCGATTCACTAAACCGTTAAAAAGTTATTGAAATTTTAAAAAATTGTAATTTTACACGTCATTTTATGGAGATTCGTTAACCGAACAGATTAAATTTATTTTTATTAACAGAAAAAAAGCTACCAGAAATTTCAAACTTTTATAATAAGTAACTTGAACTCTGGAGAATCACTTTAGCGTAAGGTTATTCAAATTCACTAAATGGTTATCGAGGAAAAAATGAAAAATTAGCTGAAAATCTCGTTTTTACTTGATAATATAATGATAATATTTATAATTGTCTGAAATAAATGCAATTTTAAAGTTTTAATTATTATTTAAACATATTAAAAAGTTTTACGCTCATTATTAATAGAGATTGAAACTAAATATTTTTTTGTTTCGAAATAGAAATCAAGGCATGCTCACTGCCAAAAGTCAGTTAAAAATTTTCTATATTCGTTATTTCTTATTTTATTCAAAGTTTTTGGTCAAATTTCAAATTTTCTCTCAAACCGTATACTTTTTTTTAGTATTTATTTACCTCGTGATATACTGCAAAATCTAATTAATCACGAATTTCTGATTTTATGTACGCTTGTCTCCGATTGTACCTCCCAAACATCCTTAATCACCCACGCGTGAGCTGTGCAGCCGACCGTTCCGCAGTCTTTTTTATTGAACGCCAAGACTATTCCACAGATATGTGGTGAATGGACTTTACATTACATTCAGTTTATTTTTCCTTAGAAAATTAATTATTATTTATCGTCTATGAAACGTATAATAATCCGTTCACTAATGAAAACTTAAATTAATGTCAATATTTTCCTGTGAATATCCTTTTTCAAGGAGCAAGATCATTTGGCAGTAAAACAGAACTGAATAAATTTGTAATTTGTTTTAATCAGTAGCAACGGCGGGTAATAAAGACGTTATTTACATATTGCCGTGCATCTTCCTCATAACAATGACGAGCACAATCTATTACAGTCATGTTTTACCGGATAATCTGGTTAAAACAGCGCGGTAACGAATTTTTTACGTTAATTGAATAATCGTTTTAGCTCTGGCTAAATGACTTAATTAAAGCTTAGAGACCCATTACCATAATGACTCACAAAAAAAAAACACGGCTTATGTACTTGTTAGCTACGCAATTAATGAAAGCTCAACAGGTTTTGTAAGGGTATATTTTAAAAATAAACAATCAATTTTAGAAAAGAAAGTTATCAGCCTAAGGTAAGTTGAACGGTTTTTATTTTTACGAATTTCTGGAAAAGTTTTGTATTTGGAGGTTCATATTTGTACGTAATTAACTATTAGAACAAGAAAAGACTTTTGGCAATTTTAAATGGGACAAGATGTTAGATGTACTTAGAAATGTAGGGATGAGTTACATACAAAGATAGAAGAGTGATACTTAGTTTGTATAAAGAGCAACAGGCAGTTATACAGATGGGGCTGCAACCTAGAGAAGTAAATATTAGGAAGGAAGTCAGACAGGGATAGCGGTATTAGCATCTAGCAAGCAGTTCGAGATAGCTTTAAATGAAATGGAAGCGGTATTGTCAAAACAGTATTATATGAAAATAAATAAAAGTAAAACAAAAATACTGGTATGCAAGGGAACATAAAGTAGGGAAAGAGCGAATATAAAGATAGGAGACGAAAGATTAAAAGAAGTGGCTGATTTTAGGTTTCTAGGAAGTCAGATAAGTCAGGACGAAAGGAGTAGTAGGGATATAAAGCAGAGGATAGTGCAGGGTCGAGTCGCCTTCAATAAAAAGAAGTCACTTCTATGCTGGCGAACGGTTAATTTAAAAATTCGAAAAAGATTGTTAAAGGTGTATGTTTGGATCTCGGAACTGTAAGGGTGCGAAACATGGACAGTGGGCGCATCATTCGAAGTGTCGTGTTACAGGTAAATGATGAGGATAGCGTGTACAGAACGTAGAAATTAAGAGATATTAGAGAAAAAAGAACAGAGGACTATGGAAATCAATAAGAAATAGACGAGATAGATTGGTAGGACACCTTCTCAGGCATGAAGGTCTAGACAAAGACGTATTAAAGAAAGAAACGGGATTTAGGAGAGGTAGAGGTAGACCTAAATTATTATTACTGTTCGCAAATAATTACGGATATGAGTTATTATAGTTTTAGGGAAATGCGAAGATTAGCTCAGGATAAGAAAGAGTGGTGGTGCGTGTCCAACCAGTCTTAAAACTGACGACCCTATGATGATGATGACGAAATTTTGAATCTAAAGGTCAGTTCTTTTAAATACGACCTTTGGTTTCGGGTTGAAAATAATTCGCCACTCTGGGAAATAATTGAAAATTGACGTTTTCAATTAATTGCGCCATTTAAGCCAACTGAAAAGGTTTTTACTGCAGCTGACGTTGGACTGTCATTCATTTTAATACGGCTAGATAACTTTTACCAACTGTGCGCGATTAAATAATTCACAGAATGCCACCATGTCAATTTTCATTAGCCCTCAAATTATTCGCGCCAAAATAGGTACTGAATACCAAAATATTATAAATAGCAGCTCAGATAAATTGGCAAATTGTAAATATATACTTACATAATATTACAATTAACATCACTATTTTACGCATTACAATAGCGTAATACATATTTTAATTTAAGTAGGTTATAGTAAATCATTTAATTTTAAATAGAAAAGTTAAGGAATTGATTTTTTTTTCTGTTTGAATCGGACTTTAGAATTGATATATTGAGGAAACCTGTGAGGCGAATTATAGTATGGTATAATAAGGTGTGGTGGTAGTAACTAAGTAACAGCGTAGTTCTGTAAAATCAATATTCTAACTTAACGGTTGCGTGACAAAGCTAAAAATAAAGCCCGAATGTCGGGGCTTTCATGCTTTTGTTAATCATAAAAGATTGTACGGTTGATGAAGTTAAATTTCATCGAGCGACCGGCACCGAAACACTGCATTAAAGGTGGCAGCCTTTAAAATCAAAAAGTATGTCTTTGTCAAATGACTCGAAAATAATCGATTTCTCGTCTTGTAAAACACAATATTCAAATTAGACTTTCGATGGGCTGTACTAGAACGTGTCTCTAATCAGCAATGAATTCGTGTTATTTAAAAGAAGCAGTACTATTGTTATTAGCATATTTAAGGCACAGTCCCATTGCGCACCATGTAACCATCATTCGAGCGCGATCACATTTATTGTGCTGTAGGTTTACGGTGAAAGCGCAATCACAGCCTACAGCGCACCGTTCGTGATTGTGCTTAAGAGTTTACGGTCTGAACGCAGTCGCAGCATATTTCGTACAGATTTTGGTGTCATTTGAGGGTTTACGGTGTAAAAGGTTGTGTAAATTGTGCAGTCGCCTCAGATGCTACTGTGGACGCACAGTTCAATATGAGCTCCGCATTCGCTTCAAAATTTGCAGTGAAAGCTCAGTCTCAGCGGAGTTCGCATCATCTCGTTATAGTCTTGTGTGAACACAATCGCACAGGCTATGCTCTCGTTTCAGGGTTTATGATGTAAAGATAACCCTAGAATAGTATTTACGAATTGTGCAGTCCTTACAGATTTAACAGCGAATGAATTATCTCAGCGGGATCGATACATACTGCGCAATTGCCTCGGAATTCACAGTGAAAGCACAGTCACAGTGGAATTCGCAGAGATCATGGTGGTGTCTGGTGCGAACATAGTCGCAGGATAGTCCCTTTTCAGCCTGCTTTCAGGAATCGTGGGAATGGGTGGATGAGTGGTGGTTCGGGTGAGAAAGATGAGACGGACGAAATGAAGACAGAAGAGAATGAAAGATTATCTGTGGAATATTACTGCCTCAACATTTGCCTAGGTGATCCAAGGAAGCCACAGAAAAACTTGAACCAAGACAGACGCACTCGGAATCGAACCGGCGTCCTCCCGAATGCTAAGCAATGGTCTAAACCTCTAGGCCATGCCGCTCGGTAGGGTAGTCGCCACAAAGTTTACAATTTATACACAACTAGAGGGTGCTCAATACGGGCTGCGCAATCGCAAAGAAAGCATAGCGTATTTCGCACAGATTCTGTTATTATATCAAGGTCTTCTATATGAGCACAATCGTAGCGCACATCTTACGCTACAATGCCAAAATTGATGTTCCTTCAAGCATTAAATTCTTCTTATCGGCACTAACATGTTAGTAAATGGGGTGGTAAATTTTTTATGCTATCATATACACCTGTTCATTCTGAATATTCGAATTTATTTTCCCTCTCAAAATGGCGTTAAATGAAAAGTCGTTTTTATCTGCGCACCGTTCATCTCCCAGCTTCCTGTACATTATCGTAAACATCTTGCAAATGCATTCACGTACGCAAACTAAGGCTGTATTTTGGCAAATAATAAAGTATCTGTCTATTTACTCGTACATTTGCGATAAGAAATGTGAACGGGGTGCTCTAAAAATTGCATCATCATTATTACGATACGGGGACGTGATGATAAAGACGCGAACATTGGGTAGATTTCGCTACGCAAGAACAACTCCCCTGGAACTTTAACCCATTTGCGATAAAATATTCTTTTGCCAGGGATCGTAAATTGCAAATAATAGTGGAAGGGAAATCACACATAAAAGTGTTGGATCGTTATCTATCTTTGAAACTGCATGATATTCTTTTCCACTGTGACCAAATTTATTTTCTTGAGTAATTTTGTTTGGCTTTCAT